TTCTTTATGTGAGTTGGTCCGTCTCACCCTCTCTCCAGGCACAAGAGGGGACGAGGTGGGTACTATGATCGCCCCTCTTTTACAGCCAGAACAACCAAAGCACAGAAAGGCGAGGTAGGCGACGTTTCCCATGGCAGGGTCGTGCCGGACTCCGGAGCCTGTTCCTAACTCCGCCCTGGCCGCCATGATCCCCCGCCGCTCTGTAGGAAGGCTCTGGTTGCCCTGCTCCGGGGGCACATTTCCCTGGAGTGGCTCCGCTGCTCCGTGGTGCCCACCACGTCCTCCGAGCCTCCTTCAGCCTCCTTTGTTGACGCGCCCCGTGCTGGGCGCTGTGGTTGAGAGCTGTGCTGGGTGGCACCTCGTCCTCCCGGCTGGCCAGTGCCCTTCCCTACAGGAGCTGCCAGCTGTGCCCTCCCAACATCCCCGCCCTATTGGGCGCGTCTTGGGCATTTTTCAGGACTCAGGCCTGGGTCCCAGGGGACAGATGAATGCTGGGCACTGCGGTGTGCTTGTCCCTTCCCCACTGACACATATCCATTGTCCTCAACCACACTTGAGTACTCGGTCCCCCCTTTAAAGAGGCTCTTGGGAAGCTGCTCACCCAGCCACCACACACGCCTGGACATGCTCGACCCTACACAGAAAGAAACAGGTGACAATGAGGACAAGAGACGCATCCGAGAGTGAGCCACAGTACGGGGGCCACGACGGCAGCTTAGGTCTGGCGCTTCTGGCCCTGATCCGCCCAGCTCTGCTGGGCCGGGCCCTTTGCTGCCTCTCCACGTGGCCCCTGAATCCAAACCCAGGGAAAGGACCGCGGGGCTCCTTCGGGGGCGCTGATGCTTTCCTTCTAGGTGCCCTTTACCGGGGCTGGGGAGAGCGCACCAGGGTCCAAAGGAGGGGCTGGCTGGGTTTCAGAGCTAATAGGGGGCCTTCTGGGTGAAGAGAGCGTGGAAGTATCACTACTACACCGTCAAGTCAGCGTGTGTGCGGAGTCCACGCACCAGCTAAGCGCTGGGAAACTGCCAGCCGACGACCTCGGGAGGGCGAGGTGGGGAGAGGTCAAGACCTGAGCTCTCGTAGTGTTTTTACTGGGTGGGTCAAGGGAAGCCTTTGAGGAGATTCATTCATTCTAACACAGCCTCTGAGCTGAAGACTCCAGTCACACATTTCCAAAGCGACTCTGCTCCCCAGAGGCGGCCGGGGCTCGGCCGGCCCCCGCGCCGCCTCCACGTGGCGCGAGACACCGAGCGTCCATTTCCCTCTCCCACTCTTCCTGTCTCACGCTCTCCCCCGCTCTTGCCCACCTGCTCCCTCGCCGATGCATGGGTCCTGTTGCTGCGTCTTGTGCAGGCTTCCAGGAGAACGGGGTGACCTGGTGAAATGGAACGCACTTCGTACCCCACAGGCCACCAGAAAACGTGAGGCGTTGTCCTTTTTGGTGCGGGTCACCAGGAGCTCGGTCCCTGTTCGGGGAGCTTGCGCAGGAGCATGAGGTCCGGAGAGATGGGATGAGCTGCGAGGCCCAGGCACGCGGGGTGGCTGATTCCACAGTGGGGGTGGGGAGGGGGCACAAAGCCTGTCTGACATGCTGCTGTCCCCGAGGGGAGGGGCTCCCCGAGCCTGGAGTACCGGCGTGGTAATAAGCACATACTCTGGAAGTATCTCCGTGACTAATCAATCAGTAAGCGCGGGAAACCCAGCCTGCAAAGCACACTTAATTGTTCGCATGTGTCGCAAAAGCTCCCATTGATGGCAACACGCTCCGGCGGAAGGTCCTTCCCAGGCCAATCTGTAAACACAGGGTACGCAGACCTGTTCAGAAATTAACTAAAATGAACAGATCAGCTGTGGTTCTGGAGGACCCATTGTGAGTTCTACAAAAACTATCCCAGCTTAAAGTTGTTTCCCTCTGAATCCTCGGATCAATTAAGTCTGGACCCATTGTCCATCCTTAAAAATCTTTGTCCTTAAAATCAGTGATTCTCTTTTCTTTTCTTTTTTATTTTTTGAAAGAGCAGGGTTTCTCAGCAGCACACTGTTAGTAGTTGGGGCTGTGCGGTTCCTTGTTGGGGGGTGCTGTCCCCTGCATTGAGGCTGCACCCACTCCTGCCTGGTTTCCCACTAGATGCCAATAGCAACCCCCCCCCAAGTTGTGACATCTAAAAATGTCTCCCACTATTGCCAAATGTCCCTTAGTGGGCAAATCTGCCACCATTTGAGAGCCAGGGAGAGAGGGTGCGGGTGATAACCGGGGTGAGCTGCTCCGTGATTCTGAACAAGAGCCAGGCTTAGCAGGGCATCGGCCACCTCCGCTAGAAAAGAGCCGAGGGTTCCTCTGTGAGTAGAGACAGCTGAGATGCAGGAGGCGGGAAACGGCCTTTGCCTCAGCTGGCCGCCCTCGAGTTGGCGGGGCCGTGCGAGGTGCGAGGGAGGAGCTGCAGCGGCTGGGCCGCTCAGCCTGAGCCCGGGCAACCTGGGCTGAGGCATCATCGGATGCCCCAGGGCCTCAGGCCGGAAACTGGCCCTTTCCAGCAAGGGCGTGACCACTATGCTGCGGTGCTGATGGCCCAGCTTCTCATCTACACCGTCCCCGGAGGCTCCGTCACCCTGTCCTAGGGAGCTGGGTCGGACCAGAAGGACCGCGCGATAGGCATCGGTGCAGTCGGGGAGGGTCCCTGAGCCCCTGCTCTGTGGTTGGTGGTGTCGGCTGGGGTGCAGGGCCACTCTGAGGCAGAGGCTGGAAGGTCCTTTCCAGCCCACTGGCACACGTGTGCATGTGCATGCTCAGGGCACACATGCACAGCACACACTCAGCTAAAACGGCATGATCGTTGGTCAGGTCCTCACTGGGGCGGGACAGAGCCCTGCAGACGAGGGCAGGGTGCCGACAGGGAGGCGGTGCCGACAGGGAGGCAGTGCCGCCTGGGCCCCCACTGGACTCGGGTTGGGGGTGGCGCCGTGGATCTGCTCCTGGGTTGAGCGGTGCATTGTTACATACCAGCCTCTGCCCCTTAAAAAGAAAGCACATCACATACCAGCTGCTCGTCCTCTTATTAAGGAGTAATATTTTTAGAGCTGTTTTTATTCATTAAATTTTTAGTGCGTTTACATACCCATCAGCTTTCTTTAGGGCCCTGCCCGGTCCCCTGTATGACCCCGTGCAGGCAGATACAGGCGTCCCTACGCTGCCGAGTGCCTGGCTCACAAACTCCATGACAGGGCAAGATAAGAGGACCTGCTGTAGTGGGGGTTTAATAGAGCAGCGCTCAGCGCCACAGTGTGTCGCTTTTCTCTGCAAGTGGGGATGACCAGAGAGGCGGATACTGTGGGGGCCACGGATGGGAAGGCCAGCACTTCCGCCAGGCCGCAGTGGGGCTGGCTGGCTCCTGCCCCGCCGCCAGGGGCAGCGTGTGGCCGCTCTGCCCTGCACTTGCCCCTGAGCTCACAGCGGGCTGGGCCATGAGCTCCTGCTCTTCCTGGCGTCTGCGAGGTCGCTGGGTGTCTAGGCAAGCCCTTTGCCACCATCTCTGTCCCCACATGTGTTTCCTCTTACACATGTGTGCAAGCAACGTGGTATCTCTAATTCCTCCCTGAATAAACCCCGCCCCTGTTTTACATGGAGCCCTGCCTTTCCGTACTTGGCTCCTAGCTGATGGTAGGCAGTTTCAGATGTTTCAGGTGGCAGCTCAGAGTGCGCCGGGCACCGCCTGCTGCAGCCGGGCTCTGCTTCCTGTGACCTCACCCTCCGTCACCCCCCTCCGGTGCCTCGCAGGCTGTCCCCGAAGCGCCCAGCCTGCGAAGTCTTTGTTTTGTGTGGGAGAGACTTCAGGAAGGCTGCCTCCCTTAGCTCTTTCTGGGGGTTCCCGGCTCCTCCTGGCCACGGTGCCTGAGCCCCACCTGGCCAGACCGCATTCTCCCCCGGGCGTTCTAGACTCATGTTAACGACAGTAGCATGTGTCGCAGCGAGACACTGAGTTCACCATCGGTGGGACTGTTTCCCGGACTAGGGGCAGGTCCAACGCGCTAATCGGAGGGAGAAGTCGTGCTCAGCGAGCCAGCCCATCGAATCCGCAGGAGCAGCCTTCCTCGGAGACACACCCCCAACACTCGCCCTCCTGCTCACTCGGTCCCTCTTCTGCCCTGTGTGCGCCCTGCCGGCCCTTGCCCCATAGCTCCGCTCGGGGATGCCAGAGGCCAGGTGGCGGAGGCGGCTGCTGCCTGGTCTGTCAACGTCCATGCAGACAGGAAGTAAGGACAAGAGCTTTCTCTCCTCACAACACGGGCAGAGCCACTTGCCGCAGCCAGACCCCCTGTTCACCCGAAGCGTCCCTGACGTAGACTGTGGGGGTTCCCCGAGTGACGCCCGCGCTCTCCACCCCGGCAACGCTCGGAGGCGCTCGGGAAAGGGACACAAGGAGAAACAGCTGGGAGCGCGGAAGCCGGGGCGAGCCTGCAGGAGGACCCCGCGGTCCCTCCTGTAAACCCTCGGTCGTGCCGCTCCCGCCGGCCGTTGGAAAACAGACTGGAAGCTGGATGTTCTCTGTGAGTCTACGTGGTCGATTTGAGATTTGTGTGGGTTTACTTGCTCGCTGCGTATTGTAGAATCCGAGTTCTGTGCTGAGTAACAGCCCGAAAGTGATACCCAGGAACAGAGAAGAAAAATAAAACAGGCCGGGCGAGTCTGCAGTCACCCGGTCCTCTCGTGGTCGGCCAGTCCTGACCGGGATCTGTGCTGTCGCATCGAGGGGTCACGAGGGTCAGGGGCTCCTAAAATGACTGACGACGACCGTGCCACCAGTTGTCACGAGGGTCCCGCGCAGGCCCAGGTTAGGTGTTGGGTGCAAGGGGGCGCGTCCGGGGCCATCTTCCTGTTCCTGCAGGACGAGCCTGAAGATGTCCTGTGTGATGTGGGAGGCTGGGCCCTCGCTCAGGGTGGCAGGACTCTGAACACCGTTTGTTCAGCGTGAACCCACAGCAGCTGGGACTGTGTCTTACAGCCTGGACTCCTTCCTGTACGGCCTCCACGCCCTCTTCAAAGGCGACTTCCGAGTCACAGCGCGAGATGAGTGGGTGTTTGCGGACATGGACCTGCTGCATAAAGTGGTCGCGCCAGCCATCAGGATGTCCCTGAAGCTTCACCAGGTAAACATCCATTTTTAAAAAGTATCAGCTTGAGCCCCGGCTGGTGTGGCTCAGCGCACTGAGTGCCGGCCTGTGAACCGAAGGGTTGCAGGTTCAACTCCCAGCCAGGCCACATGCCTGGGTTACGGGCAAGGTCCCTGGTTGGGAGTGTGTGAGTGGCAACTGGTCAGTGCATCTCTCACAGGTCGATGTTTCTCTCTCGTTCTCCCTCTCTCCCCCTCTCTCTGAATATAAATAAATAAAATCTTTAAAGTGTATCAGCTTGAAACATTAGGAAAAACATGGTCCCCATCCTTGGCATGACATGTTGGAGTAGGTTCATTATGTAGGTGACCAGGCAGAGGCTGCCTGGAGAGCCTTGACATTGGCCAGCGGCCATTCTCCCTCCAGAACTGTTAGGAGGTGGTGATATACCACCAGGAGGGGAGGGGGCACTCAGCCAGAGCAAGTGACGCATATCAGAAGTGCCCGAACTGTACCGAGAGGTCCTAAGAACCTGAGCCACGGAGCTCTGTCCCTGGGCATGGCCCAGCGGTGGGACGGGGACGAGGAGGCGTCCTCCGCCAGCACAGGGCTCGGGGAGAGCGAGCGGGGAGGGCGAGACGTGCCGTGGGCTCAGCCCCACCCCCTCACCGCGGCCTTGGCCCTCAGGCTCCCGTCTCTCCCCAGGACCAGTTCACATGCCCCGACGAGTACGAGGACCCCGGGGTCCTCTTTGAGGCCATCCAGTCCTTCGAGGAGAAGGTGGTCATCTGCCACGAGGGCGACCCAGCCTGGAGGGGCGCCGTGCTGGCCAACAGGGAGGAGCTGCTCACGCTGCGGCGTGTGGCCGACGAGGGCGCCGATCAGTACAAGGTCCTCAGGCTCCACAGGGGCTTCCTGAGCTTCAAGGTGATCAAGGTACAGCGGCGGGCGCCGCGCGTCTCCTGCCTGGGGCTGTGCGGGGCGAGGCGGGGAGCAGTGTGGTGGTGGGCGCCCACGCTGGCATCGCTGGGCCGGCGTGGCCGGCTCAGGGCCATGCTCTTAGAGGGGAGCTGGGCTGCGCTCCCGGGCGGGGCCCCTTCCCGCCCCGCAGACCAGAGCGCGATGCACATCTAGGTACAGGTCGTGATCGACTTCTTTTTAAAGGCTTCCTAATTCTCTGAAATTCCAGACTTGTCTCCAATAATCTATTCCTGCACCCGAGCACGTCCTTCCCAATGATTCTTTTCTTTTAATTCTCACCTGAGGATATGTTTGTTGATTTTTTTAAAAATTTTTTTATTTTTTATTTTTTTGGAGAGAGGAAGGGTGAGAGAGAGAGAGAGAGAAATATTGGTTGGTTGCCTCTCATACGCACCCCGACCGGGGATCACACCGCAAACCGAGGCCTGTGCCCTGACCAGGGATCGAAGCCTCAGCCTTTGGGTGCACAGGGCGACGCTCCAACCCACCGAGCCACCTGGGAAGGGCCCGGTGACTCTTCTCTTCCTGTAGCTTCAAACCACAGGGCAGAAACAGGAGCTCCCTCCTCTCTGCTCCACGTTCCCGTGGAAACGCGGCCGCGCCGCTGCAGGCCCGCGGTCCTGCTCGTGCGCTGCAGGTTACCCCCAGCGGGCCGAGCGCCCACACCGTCCGCTTTCCTCCCGCTCCTCTCCTGACCTGCAGGTCAACAAAGAGTGTGTCCGGGGCCTTTGGGCCGGGCAGCAGCAGGAGCTCATATTCCTCCGTAACCGCAACCCGGAGCGCGGCAGCATCCAGAACAACAAGCAGGTCCTCCGGAACCTGATTAACTCCTCCTGCGACCAGCCCCTGGGGTACCCCATGTATGTCTCCCCGCTAACCACGTCCTACCTAGGGACCCACCGGCAGCTGAGGAACGTCTGGTGCGGACCTGTCACTTTGGACAGCGTCCGGACATGGTTCCGAACCAAGTGGTTAAGGTAGGTGTCCACGCCACAGCCTTCAGCTGGGTGCCGGGCGGGGCGGGGCGCCTTTCCCGTGTGATGACGGCCCGCACGGGCCATCTAAGGGATCGCTTGTTTCAAAGTGCAGTGTCAGGGGGCGGCTTGGTGTTTCCCGCCCCGCCCCCGCCCACAGGCCGAGCACCTGCCCCGGCCCTCGCAGAGCTGCTGAGGTTCTGGGTCTTTAGGACCCAGGTGTTCCATGTCTGTCACAGGGAACGGGGACAGGGCGTCCTCCCCCTCAGCCATGAGTCTGCCTCCCTGGCTGGCACCGTGTCCCTGGGTAGCTGGGATGGGTCCTCTGAGGGATCCACGCGGATGGTTCTTCTGGAAGATTGAGACTGGAGCTTATTCATCCTGCTGCAGGGTTTTCATCTGTTAGACGCTTGAGATTTGGGGACCAGAGGCCCCTCTCCCCGCCTGTACCCCAGGCGCGCAGCTCACCTGTAGCGTGGCTCACCCTGGTTCCGACACGGGCGTGGGGCGTTAGGGGTGTAGAAGCGCCCCGATGAGAGCCCTGGCCGCGTTTCCCACCACAGGATGCGGAAGGACTGCCACGCCGGCCAGCGCAGTGGCGGCAACATCGAGGACGCGGACGGAGGGGGCGCCCCGTCCACAGGCGGCAGCAGCGCCCCGGGTGGCGACAGCCAGGAGAGCAGCACAGAGCAGCCCAGGAAAGAGGGGGCCCGCCACTGGTCACCCCGGGAAGGGACACGGAGCACAGGTGGGTGCAGCAGGGCCTGGCGTTGCTGATACAGGCTCCCGTGGTCCCGGCAACGTCATCAGTATTGGGATGAGGGACGCCCCAAAATGCACTGAATCTTGTCAGTTTTGCTCAGGAAAAAACTGTCAGGTGCAGCTTTTATGCTTTCTCCATCTGTCCGTCCATGACCTCAGCCAGCCGCCGGTCTTTCTGCCTGGCTGTCCCGCGCGCACCCCTCCCTTCGCGCCTCTCGCCCGGTCAGCGCCCACCGCCTCGGGTGCCGCTGTGGCTGGCCGTGCCGCAGTCTTGACCCACGACGGGGTTTTCGTCCTCGCTGCTCTCCACGCCTGCGGCAGGACCAGCCGGCCTCCCCCCCGCCCTTTTCCTGCTTCTCTCTAGTTCTCACACCCTCCATTCACACCTGACACTTCGGAGAAGCAAAGAGGGGAGAGAACCCCGCTCCCCGCGAGGAGCGGAGGCGGGGCCAGGCTAGACGAGGCTCCCGAGGGCTCACAAGAACGTGCCGGGTGGAGGCAGGAGTGGCAGGCGCTCGGCTCTGGTTCCCGTCAGCACATCGAGCTCGGCCTCGCCCTTCAAAGCCTGCTCGCCCCAGAGCTTCCTTGCCGGCCAGGAGCCTTCGTGAGGTGCCTCTTCCTGCCGGTCCCACCTGCCAACCCCGCACCAGAGCCAGCAAGGAGCGCCCCAGCCTCCTGGATGTGCCTAGAGCCAGGCTGGGGGTTTAAGTAAAATAGGGAGGATTTGTATCAACATGGGCAACATGGTAGACAGGTAGATGATAGATGACAGATAGGGAGATAGAGACACATAAGTGGATGATAGATAGATAGAGACAGATGATTAGGCAGATAGATAGATTGACAGACAGACAGACAGACAGACAGATGATGCAGATGATTAGACAGGTAGGTAGGTATCCAGTGTGGTTGCCCGGTAACGAGGCAAGCCTGGTGACGTCACCGGGGCTCCCACCCCCTGACGGGGCCCAGGGCCCTGAGGCCAGTGTCATTCTGCTGGGGACTTTAGGAGGCCCCTTGCTGCTCCCGCTCCCTGCTGCCATCCTCCGGAGCCCAGCGGGCGGACACCATCCCAAGTGCCTCCCAGGCAAAGTCGCTGTATCCTCACCACGACTCTGAGGTGGGCACCGTCCTGGGCCTCACCGTGCAGGTGAACAGAGGGGGCGCAAGACCTGCGGTCACGGCCCAGAGTCACCCAGCGGGGCAGGGGCTGATCTGGGGTTTGGACCCAGGCAGTCTGAGCCCGGAACCCACGATCTAACCACCCTGGGCTGGGACGCTGCCCTGGGCCCCGAGCTGGGAATGAGTGGGTGGGGCACCCTCCCCAGAGGTCACCCTCGCTCCCAGAGCTCCGCAGACCTCGCCCTGTGCCCTGCTGGCCAGGGCTCCTCTGACAACTGGCCTTCCTCCTGGCCCCCAGCACGCAAAGCCGATGCCTGGCTCTTCCTGGGGCAGCCAGCTGGAGCCCCTAGCCGCTGTGTGCGGGACAGAGAAAGGGACAGGGGCGGCCACATGTCCCGCCCCTTGCTCAACAAGCTGAGGTGCCTGTGGAAAGAAGGCCTCAGGGAGGCTGGGTGCCATCCGCAAGGGTCAGAGAGCTGGGAGGGGGAGGGGAGGCGGATGGAGGCCCGGCCCCTCCCACTCCAAACAGAGGAGGCACCGCCTCCCCGCTCACTCCTGCCGGTGGCCTGCGCAGTCACACCGCGGCCAGAGGGGTGGAGCTGTCACATCAGTCAGGTCAGGCTGTTGTTCTGAGTAGGACCAGAGGTGGCCCCAGGATGTCGGGGGCAGGGGGTTCAGGCCTTGGGCATTAGGACCCCGACCACACGGGACCTCCAGGCTGAGGCAGTGACTCCCGCCTTCGACCCAGCTCTGCAGGGGGCCCCTCCCGTCCCTCACTTGTCAGTCAGTGGCCATGCGCTGAGCCTGTAGAAACGACGCGGTCGCCATTGGTCACTTCAGAGAGGCAGGGCGCAGGGTGGGCAGGACCACGGACTGCCAGGTAAGCAGGCAGTTAGGACGGAGGAGGCCGGAGCGGGACAGGCAACCCGCCTCTGGGCAGGGCACGACCAAGGAGCAGCGACTGAGCGGTTCTTCAGGACAAACATGAACCAAATCGTAGGAGTAGGGGTCTGTCCTGCTTTTCTCACAGTGCCAAGGCTTACGTCCCACAACCACGGTCCCATCTGCTCCCGCCCTCGGTCCTCACCTCGGTCCCCAGCCCGGTGCCCGATGCAGGCCCTTGCCAGACTCGCTCAGAGGACTGGGGTCCCACCTGGGTCCCCACCGCAGAGCCCCTGCGCACGGCGACGCACGGTGACGCACGGTTCCTGGCGTGCCCAGCACCTCACGCCTGGCCGGTGGGCCCAGGCGGTCACCGGGGCCCGACAGCCTGCCGCCGTCTTACCGCGGTCAGCGACGGGTGTGCCCGCTGAATGGGTGCGCGGCTGGGGCGCCCGCGGCCTGCTCCCTGAGAGGACCCATGACTGAGCAGAGCCCTGCGGGGAGAAGAAGGGCCCGCTCTTCTCTTGGTGAGGATCTGCACACAGCCTGGCAGGTGACGGTCAAAGCCGGAAGAGCCGGCTGTGGAGCAAGGAGGGTCCTCATGGCGTTGCACCCCGGCTCTGGGGAGGTTTTCCCTGGAAACCTCATAATTTGATCATGAAGTAATTGGCAGAGTTAAACTATAAGATAGTGATTCTGTGTAGCACAGATGCATTTAGCATGGTGTGCTCACTTGTTCCATTTGCAAAATTAAATTAAAAAAATCAAGCAACAACAACAAAAAGCAACAGGAAAATCTGAAGCAAAGAGGTTGGGGGGAGGTGGCCTCTTCCCGCAGAGAACATAGATTTCCCCTTTGTCACACAGACGGGCCTTTGTCCCTCTGTCTCTGGAATTCGCTGGGAAGTCCCCCACCGAGCCCGGTGGTCCTCTCCCCGGCATCGGGACCGCTGACTGCGGGTGACTGTGGCGCGTTTTGGGGCAGCAATCAGCGTTACGGTATAAATCACAAGCAGATGTTTGGCCTTGCCACACGCTGAATAAACTAACAAATCGCCATCTCTGTTCTCAGTTCTCATTCGTCAGGGTCCCTTCTCTCCCTCTTTTTTCCTCTACAAGAGTGACTAACACAGCTCTCCAGCAGGTCAGAGGGGCCCGGCCCCGGGGCCGGTCCCCACGCCAGGCGCGGCCCGCCCTCACCCCAGGGAGGGTGACGCCCGGCCTGCGGAGCTGAGCAGCGCCTGTTTTCCCAGCAGCCGGGCAAGAGCCGGGGGGAGCACCCTGGAAACGGGTGCCGGCGTCATGGTGGTCACGGGGCACAAAGGTCAACGTGAGGCGAAGGGCCCTCCCGCCAGTGAGCCGGTGTGGGCAGGATCGGGGCGGGGGCGGGACCCCTGGCATCTCTAGGTTAACCGTTGTTCCCTGAGGAGCTCTTTCTCAAAAAATAGATCTTTCTCAAAAGATCTCTTTCTCCTCAGGGGGTTCTGTGGGCATGGATGAATAGTCTAGAATCACCAGATGCACAGGTAGTGATTTGAGCGTTTGGGGTGAGTGGGTCGTAAGAAAATGCCTGCGAGGTCCGGTGGGCACCCACCCTCCGCCCCCTCGTTCTGATGGCTCGAAGGCCTATTCTAGCAGCTTCAGGAGACACCGATCAGGCAGTCGACAGAACTGTGATGTCACTATTTGCCCCCTTCAAAATGAGATTTTAATTAGACCCTGGTGATTACTGACACTTAGTGGAGCGACTCAGCGTGCCCACGTTTCCTCGCCGCTGCCCGCCCGCAGCGCCGCCCAGGAGGCCCTGCCCACACATGTGCTCCAAGGGGTCCGTCCGGAGACACAGGCAGGACCAGCTCTCCAGTGCTGCCCGTCGCCTTCATCCACATGGCCTTGCCTGGCCCAGCGTCTCAAGGGCTGGGGCCACCAGGGAGCCCGAGGGGAAGGACAGCAGTGGCGGGGGGGGGGTGGCGCTGGACCTGCCAGTGGCGCTGCCCACACAGGGGGCCCTCGGAGGGCGTCCTCTTAGAGACCTGGATCTTAGGGGAAAACGTTTCTAGGAAACAAAGGCCAAGCAGGTGGCTCAACCCTTTATTTCCCTTTTTTTTTTTTTTAAGCAATGAAACGTGATAAAACCCTCGTTTTCCCTTTGTCACCGCTTATGGGATGAGGATAGGGACCCGGGTTCTGAAGCAGGAGCAAAACGTCAGGTCGACGAGGGCGAGCTGCACTCCTGGCATTGTCCTGGTGTGTCTGGGACCAAGGCTCCCAGGAATGTACCGCTTGAATGTCGAAGCCGGCGAAGTCTGGGGTGAGCCCGGTGGCCCTCGAGGCCTCCGTGGAGCCCCCGGTGGGACTTCCAGCTCTCAGGCCCGGCCTTGAAGGCGGTGGGCCCACGGAGGCCCCTCAGGCCCAGGCAGAGCAGGCCCCCCACCGCACGGCATGCACACTGATGTTGGTGACCACCTGCTATGGCAACCTGTTCTGCTTTCTTTTAAAGGCAGGAGGAAGGGCAGGAGTCAGTCTGTGCAGGCCCACGGGGCGTTAAGCCAACGGCCCCCCGCCTTGAGCTCGTCCGGCCCCATCTTAGAAAGCCACCCGGCCTTCCTGCAGACGTCCACGTCGGCCCACGGGCTGGCCCCCAGGCTCTCGGGCAGCCGGCTCTCCTTACGCACCTCGGCCGCATCCCTGCACTCCCAGCCCCCGCCCGTCACCACCACGGGCCACCTGAGCGTCCGGGAGCGGGCCGAGGCGCTGATCAGGTCCAGCCTGGGCTCGTCCACCAGCTCCACCCTCAGCTTCCTGTTCGGCAAGAGGAGCTTCTCCAGCGCTCTCGTCATCTCGGGCCTGTCCGCGGCGGAGGGGAGCAACACCAGCGACACCCAGTCCTCCAGCAGCGTCAACATCGTGATGGGCCCCTCGGCCAGGGCTGCCGGCCAGGCCGCACGGGTAAGGGCCGGGCCGGGCGGCGCGCGGGGTCCTGGCCTGGCTCCGCAGTGACAGGCGGCAGGGTGTGAGCCAGGAGACAGCCTGGCCGCGCCCCGGGGCTGACACGTCCTGGAGGTAACAACGCTGTAGGAGCTCAGCAGAGTTGTCGCCCCGAGCCCCGAGCCCGGGATACAGGGGTGTTCTCTCTCACTGGTCTGCACAGCGGGAGCACGTGTTCCTTCATCCTCTCTTCATGTCACTCTGCCAGAGGGACACTCAGGACACCCATCAGCACTGGAGTCCCATCGTCACCGATTCCTGTCCAGATGTAATCCCAAAGCTGCCGAAATGGCCGCCTATTTATACACATTCAAACACAGAAAAGGAGAGCTGTGAGGACTTCACCCAGATAAACCATTCCTCGTCCAGAGGTGCAGGCTCGCTGGTGAGACGAGGACCGAACACCCAGCTGCTCTCTCCTGCGGGGGGCAGGGGGGCACCCGGGCGTCCCCCCCGGCAGCCATGGCCGTCAGCCTGCAGATTCCTGGTTCTGGGGCAGTTACCGCAGGGGGGCGAGGGGGCTCTGCCCTCCCTCTCCTTCCTGGAGACAGGCCCCCGCGGCAGATGCCCCCCTGCCCCCGTGGGAGCACTGGCAGCACCGTCCGCCACCCGGGACCCTGGGCGCACGAGGCTGTGCATCCTTTCAGGGAACAGCTGATGGGCCTCCTGGAGACCGGGGGCCACATCGGCCACAAGCAGGGAGCCTGGTGACTAAATTTAGTTAGATCACTAAACGTATAAACAATCTTCCTTTTTTCCCATGTCCTCAATAAAAATGCACAGAACATCACACCTTCCCCCCACCCCCAGTCTGTGCTGAAGACACAATCTGTGGGTGCCGTTCTGGGATTCTGGCAAATCCTCTCCCCCCTCTCCCTCGCGGAGGACCGAGTCCTAATGCGTTCAGGGCCGGGGGTGGGGGGGATCCTGGAGTGCCGTTCGGGTCCAGCCTGCAGGACCTAGCATTTGTCGATGGGGCTAGGTGTCTATGAAGGGACATTGGCCGAAACCTGGGAAACCGGCACAACAATGACCTTTTATGCAAGGTCATCTTTCCAGCATGTCCAGATTACCCGAGAAGAGCCCCCACATCCCACGTCCCTCCTCCGAGGCCACCGTCGGGCCCTCTGTAAGGTGGCCCGACTGTGGAATCTCAGCTCCTACCCCGGCAGCGCGGGCGCTTAGCAGGCCAGGGCGTGCCGCGGCCAGGTGGTAGTCCGAAGTGGCCATACCTGCTTGCTGAGCGATTTCCTCTCTTTTCTCTTTGGAAGCACTTCTCCGAGCCGAGTGAACCCACCGAAGCCGAACACGGGCAGCTTCGCGGCCGCCGTCTGGCTGAGGCCATGGCTGGGGGCCCCGGGGTGGTCTGCAGGCGAGCCAGCCAGGAGGACATGGGCCTGGACGACACAGCTTCCCAGCAGAGCGCCTCGGACGAGCAGTAGGGCTGGGAAGGGCCCCTCAGCCGGAGAAACCGAGTCCCACAGGGGCTCCTTCCTCTTCTTCCTTTCTGCTCCCCCGAAACTGAAAAGAGCAAATACTGTCATCCATGTGGGGCCCTTTCTGTGGACAAATGAGAGCTGTTGTAGAAAACGGAATAATTTTATCTCAGGTTCTTGAAAACTAGTTCACGTAATGGGGGTCGGGGGGACATCTTGACGGCAGGCCTCCTCGCCTGCTGCCCAGAGCTGGGAACAAGGGAGGCACAGGCACTTTCCAGAATTTGAAGATTCACACAGAAATGATGTAACATCTAAAACAACTAGCTAGGGCACATAAATAACTTTCTGCCCTGATGGAAATAAGACAACTGCATGTTAAATAATTGGCCTTTTATACACTCCTGTCACCGTGACAAAGCCGTGAGCAGCCGTGCGAATCATGCCATCCGTGGGCCAAGTGTGCTGAGGTTACATCCACCCATCAGGACAATCTCGCTGCTTCGTAATATTTATGCCGATGTCGGGTGAGCATAAACCAGCGACAGTGCACGCAGTCCCGCCCGCAGCTCCCTGTGACCCAGCCCAGCAGCCCCCACTGGTGTGAGCGTGACGTCTGGCCCAGGCAGGGCCGGATGCCATCTTGGAGGGACACAGTGTCCCACGGCGACTTCCCACACACACAGGACGTACGCTTGCTCCCCGGGCCGAGTGGTCCCCACCACGCCGGGTCGCGGGTCCCCTGCACACTCCTTTGTTTTTGGAATTAAAAGGTTTGTAGTTATTGCTGTGTCAAGTTCTTTGAGTTCTGCTGAACTGTTGTCATTTCTAAAAAATGAATCGCTTACGGTGAGAATGGCACTTGGGCAAATTCTGAGACTTTCCCCATCTTGCTTTTCCCAATGGGTAGAGCTGCAAGCTGGCCTCTTGCTGACAGCAGGCAGGGAAGGGGCCCAGGGCACACGGTCCATGAGAACACCGCCGGCCCCGTGAACCATCCCTTTTGAAGAGACGATAGCTAGAAAGAATTTGCAAACAGTTGTACAAATTTCTTCAAGGTCTCCAGGATTTGGAAGCCTGGGGAGAGGGGAGGGTAATATGTACAGAGAATTCCTTATCCCTTGAAAGTAGATGGTAATGCTCTTGTGTTTTTTGTTTGTTTGTTTTGTAAAAAGGAATCGGTAATTAGTAATAATAGCTGGGCTCTCTAGTCTGAGACACAGTGCGTTGTTCTCAGGCAGGTCCCCGCAGACACATGCGTGGTTTTTTCCGATTCCCACGCAGGCGTCTAGTGAAAGCCCACCCCGCCTCATGCAGTTTGCTGGGCTGGCCAGCCCACCCCTGGCTGGAGCTCCTCACCTCCTCTTGGGCCCCTTTACGGCCAAGACCTCGGGACCAGACCGCAGCCCTGAGCTGCGTGTGGCCTCCCCCGGAGCCGTCTCCCACTTGAAGACAAATGACGGGCCACTCTGTGGGCGCCCAGAAGTGAGAACCAGAAGGTGCGACCTGGGAGAGCTGAGAGCCAGCCAGCAGGGGAATGACCCCGGAACGCAGGAGAGAAGGGGGAAGCACCGGGGAGCGCCTGCATCGCCGGCCGCAGCAGCAGAGCATCTGTCCTGAGCACCTCCCCGTCCTGAGTCCGTTTCCTTCCCGAGTCTTCTGTGCACATGGCCTGTGAGCAGGCAGGGGCAGGAGGTCCAGCGTGCCGGCAGCCCCTCTGCGGAAGAGGGAGTCGGCCTGCGTGTGCTGGGAGCCTGCGTCCGGCGCGCGCGCTTCCCTCCGAGGTGCAGGTGCCCACAAGGGGCAGCGCTGCCAGACTCACTCCACAACTCTTCGTGACTGTTAAGGATGCAGTCACTTTTTAAAAATCGGGAACACCTTTTATATTTGCAGCTCATGAACGTGTTAATCTGGTCTTCAGCAGGTCATCGGTGTACCAGAGAGCAGTCCTTGCAAAATACTGGCTGTACAGTAGCCCCCATTTGAGAGAGATCCAGGGGTGCCATTTCTGGCGGGAGCTATTCAAATGCTCTGCCAGCACACAGCTAAACAGCTATGGCTGCATTTGGACACTGAACAAAATTCTCTCCTCTAAAGAAAAAGTCGGTAGTGCTTGATTTTTTATAAATCATGTGCCTTTCAATTGATTGTAGATTGTGCACGTGTGTGTCGAAACTGTTTGGCAAGTGCTTTAAAAGGATTCAATGCCCCAACTTCTCTTTGCCCGTCAAATGTGCGGTGCGGTGCCTGTGTGCTTAGCCCTCCCTGCTCGAGCCCCTCCCCCTTTCCTGTTTAGTCCCAAGTCACTGTGTTCCAGGGGCACAAGCATCTGCCATCGGTGCACACGGCCCCTTCCCAGACACGGAGACGGACAAGGAGAGGAAGAAGGGGCGAGGCCCGTTCCGCGTGTCCGGGGCCACCATCCCTCCACCCCACTTGATCGGGGGGCTGGGATGGAGGGAGGGCCTGGGCCGACTACTTTACTGCGGATTTCTTCCTCTCAGCCAGGATGATCGGCAATTATACTCTACGTATTTAAAAGATACGTCCCTCTCCCTACAGGTGCTTACTCTTATTCAGAGGTAAAAAGAAAGTTTTTCTAAGTGTCTGTTAAGTGGCTGGTAGTCCAATCAGGGGAAGAAGAGAAGGATTTGGGAAACAGTCCCCAAATCTGTTCCGCTTTGTCGCATCCAACCAGGACCATCTGTGCTTTTCAAAGTGAACTTTCCCTTGAAGGCTGGACTCACCCAGCAGTGGGTCAGGGGCCCGGATTTGAGCAGTGGGCATCTCAGGCTCAGGTATGGAAGAGAACTCCCTACCTCCACCTGCCCCGCGCCGCACCCTTCCTCCCGAGCGCCTCCGCCAGCCGGTGGCACCCACACGACCCAGTGCTCCGCCTCTGCCGCTCTGCTCCTGGCTTGTGCTGGGAGGAGGAGGGGGAGGGGGATGGACCGCAACTGGTGTTCAGCCTGGGCGTCTCTTCCTGGCGCCGTCACCTCCTCCTTTAAACCTCAGTGGAATGCTACCCGCTATGCGTGATGCGCCCGAGGCGGTTATCTGCTGAATGCTCCTTTCTGATACCACAGACCGAGTGGCTTAAAAAGCAGACACTCGTTGATTCTCACAGCTCTGGAGGCCGGAAGCCCAAGATCAGGGTGCCGGCAGGTCTGTGGCCAGTGAGGCCACCTCCCGGTTCATGATGTCCGTCTTCTCACGGTCCTCCCACAGCAGAAGGGGCGGGCAAGCGACCCCTGCAGGGTCTCTGTCATCCTAGTCACCCCCCAAAGGCCCGCCTTCGAACACTGTCGCATGAGAGGTTAGGCTCCAGCATAGGACTCTGGGCAGAGGGGGGGGGAGGGGCACATTCAGGCCAGAACGTGATCTTTCATTGGAGCTCAGCTCTTAGAACAGACAGATTGCACCTGACATCTTCCTAGGTGCTTCCTGTCAGTCTGTGGACAAAGTAATCCAATCGTTATTTAAAGGCCTCGCCACAGATGGTACTAAGTGCCCTTCTGATCTGCAGCAGCTGTCATTTATCACAGCTCAGTCTCCGCTGAGACCTGGGAGCGAGGGCACACTGCGAAGATCAGAAGCCGTGGGCTTCGGAGCCACAGACTGGGGCTCAAGGCTGCATCTCCCACTGGGCTGCTTTGCCGCGGAAGGGAAAGAGGCCGACGCTCCCTGCGTCACGCGAGTGCCGGCCGTCCAGAGCCCCCTACTCACTGTCCCTCCTGAGGGGACTGTGCCTCCCTTCCCTCCAAAAGCACATTTGGCTTCAATTGTAAGTGTCCTCAAATGAGCTATTCTACCTTCTTTTAACAAATGCCATTCTTTCCTTCTAGTTTAAGATGAACTCAAAGTCTGCTAGACAGTCGCAACCCGAAGCACTGGGCTCGGGACGAGCAGCAGAGGGAGACTGTCCCTCCTGCCACCGACGGACGAGTCCACGCAAACCCAGAGCCCCTTCCCGGAGACAGACCCCTCGCTGGGGCAGACCGGGCGCACGGAGGTGGCATTTCCCCTGCTGCCGTCCTCCTCCTCGGCTCCCCCGGGGGGCCGTGTGGGGCTCCCTCTGGGCTGGGAGTCGGATGGGAGCGGACTGACTGCAGGGCGGGGTTCCCAGGTGTCACAGCGACCGCCCCACCTGCACACACCTGTCCCCATCCTGTGAGTGTGGCTGAAGTCACACCCAGCCTGTCAGACCTCGTGAGCTCGGCCTCCTTGAACCCAGTGGGGCAGGGACAGTGAGCCGGCGACACCCGCTTCCTTGGGCTGGATGCAGTACCCCTTCGAAGGGATTTGCTCCTCATCTATCAGCCTTTCGGCTGTGGTGCCTCACAGGCTGCGCAGGTCCAGACCAAGTGTCAGAGCGCCGCCTCGGGAGGTCCCGACATTGTGACGGCTGCCACAGGCCGCAGCCTGTGTCCTCGGCTTCGACGTGAGTGCGCCCCGCACTGCCCACGGGACCCCAACCCCCAGGCGCCAGGGCTGGTCCGTGGTGACGGCCACACCCAGCGCTCACGCCGGCCAGGTCTGTCGCTCACACCAGGCGCTGATAAAACCCTGCCATTCATACATCTTCCCCAGAAATGACCCGAGTACACAGGACTGTGAGCCGCTCCAGCCCATCAACCCCCGGAAGGCAGCCTTATCCTCCGAATCCCGGGCCGTCGGCGTCTCCTCCACGCGCCCTGCTGCGGGCTCTGCGCCCCTCTCCGCCGCTGCTCCGCCAGCTCAGCCCTGCTGCTGGGCCCTCCAGGGCCCACACGGGGGCTGACGACGGTCCCTTCCACGGGGTGCCAGAGCCTCCTGTGACGACACTCCCGTCCGTTTTCTGGGCAGGAAATGAGGCGCAGGGCTTGGCCAAAGCGGAGCTGCGCTCCGGCCGCCCCCGCACCCACTGTGTTCCGAAGGCCAGCCCGAGCCCGGCGGACGAGGACTCACGGGTGTGCAGCCGTGCCATTCATCTTCATTTTATTAAGTAACAAGCAAACAAATAGACAGCAAGAGATGGGGGTGGGGGGCCTGAAACGGTTTGCTTTCAAAACCATAACTTTTAAAAATCAAATAACTGTTATCACTTCAAGCTGCACAGCAGAGGCGCTGGGGAGGGGTTCACTGCTCGTGACACGCAGAACCGATGAGGCAGTGCCCTCTCCCCCCGCCCCCAGCACATGTATAAACTTCACGGGGGCAGATCCCATCTGGTGCTGAGAGCCATTTCTCATTTCATAATTTACTCAAATCATACGCACAACTGCAAGAGGAAATAAACAGAAAACTCTCGGCATAAATAAGCCACAATGGATGATTAGTCTTGTGGAGTCAATCCCGCATTAAGGCTAATTCGATCTTTTAAACACTTTATGGGAAACAGCTGTCAGGCTCCCTGCATAGGCGCCCCCATGGCCTCCGAGACCCGAAGGCACAGAACCTGGGCAGGCGGGGCCGAGCAGGCTGCTCGGGGTGGCACGTTCCTCCGCACGCAGCAGCGCGGTGACACAAACCACCTTCACTTCCCGCCGCTCTGCACACACGTCACAATATCCGGCAAAAGGTGGTTTCTGTTTTCCTTGGTGACCTGAGGGAAGAAGCAAGGGAGGGCGTCAGAGTCCAGTTCCTCTTCTCCGTCGTCTGACGGGCAATGTGCTAAACGCAGAGCCCGGAGGGCCGGCAGGGCCGCGGGATGCTGCGCCGACCCCGGACGGGCCAGGTGTGCGGCTGAGCCAGGAGGAAGCCCGGCGCTCGGAAAACAGGGCAGGCGTGCTCGGGGCCTCCTCCAGCCTCTGCAAAGCGAAAGTGGGTTTACAGCTCCGGCTGATGTGGCTCAGTGGACTGAACACTGGTCTTCAAACCAAAGGGTCGCGGTTCAATTCCCAGTGCAGGGCCCATCCCTGGGTTGCCGGCCAGGTCCCCAGTAGGGGGCACGCAAGATGCAATGACACATTGATGTTTCTCTCCCTCTCTTTCTCCCTCCTTTCCTCTCTAAAAATAAATAAATAAAATCTTAAAAAAAAAAAAAGAAAAAGTGGGTTTACAACAGACACGTTTTAACCATGAAAGGATCTAAGGATGAAGCCATACGCGAGGCGCTCTGGAATGGACAGCGGGGACACAGCCAGACTGTGACCGGACCTGACCGGAAGGACCTGCCTGAGTGAAGCCAGGAGAACACACTGCCCAGCTGGGTCCATGGAGAGTGACCGGCACGCTGGCCCGCGTCACGCCCGGAATCCCAGGTGCCCCTGAACAGGAGCCATCCACTCATTTCTCCACGGACCTGGGAAACCCCGGTGCTGCCCGGAGCCCTGGACATCGGTCAGCTCCACATCGGGTGATGAGGAGGCTGGGGCGTGTCCTGGGGTCTGAGCCCGCAGGGGGCGTGTGCAGGCTGAACTCCGGACTCCTGTCCCCTCTGTGCCTGCTCTCTAACTGATACCCTCACAAAAACACAAGTACGAGTTTATTCAAGCTTTACTCAATGACCCGTTTTTAATTTTTCTTTCTTTCACAACCACAGTCTGGAGAATAGCACAGGCGCGCTGACCCCGCCGGGGAGTTGGCCGGCGGCTGCTGCCCCGCGTCAGAGCAGGGCCACTGCCTGCCCCCCCCCAGCGCCTTCCTGTTCGGCCCCACACGACAGTCACCCATCCAGCCCTGACAGCGTGCCGGTCAGGGATGGGGCAAGGTGCTGGGGACAGAGAAAGGGCTCAGGTAAGACCTGACCTCACGGAGCTGCGGACCAGAACCCGGGGACAGGCGTGAGCAAGAACGAGAGCAACGGATGAACGAACGAACCAACGAATGAACGAGCAAAGGGCGAGCCCCACGGGAGCGGTGGGGCACCAGCAAAGGCTTCCGGGCAGACACGCCTGGCCTCCGTTTTTCAGGCGACAATGGCAGGAAGGCCCCAGGAGAGGAGGCCCTGAGTGCACGTGGAGGACCTGACCGGGCTCCACGGGGGGACCGGACCCTGAGGGCAGGGCTGCGGCTGTCGCTCTGGTCCCGCAGGGGGCCTGGCACACAGCGGGTGCTACAGAAATGTCTGACGAGGGGATGCACAGGGTGTTCGTGCCCTTGGGTTCCCCAGCACCCGGGGGCACAGGCTAAGGACCAGGGTGCACACTGCGTCCAGCAGGCCTTCCCCTCCCAGCCTGCTCAGGGCGCTCGCCAAGCCCTCGGCTAGGTACAAAAAAAAAAAAAAGAACTGAAACTGGAAGAGACTCATTTTGAGAATGTCTTATCACTAAAAATTAATGAACAGAATGCAAAAACGAAACTAATATTCTGCTCGGCCCCTCTGATCTCCCCGAGAGTTCTGACGTCCCACAGGAAATGCCTGCGCGACACCGTCTGCTGCATTTGGTTATCGTGCCCCTGGCCACCGAGGACTGACGCAAACTCCCGGCCACGTCCAGCAGTGGCGCCTCAGGGCCTGCCCTGAACACAGGTCCTCATCCACGTCTTCCTGGCCAGCAGGTTTGTGGCTGCAGTCCTTCCTGAGGGGCGACTAGACGGGAACTGGGGGCTGGGAACAGAGAAAGGAGGCGAGGAAGGCAGCAGCAGGGAACCAAGGCACTGGAGCCTAGGGAGGGAAAGGAAGCTGGGCGACACCTGAGCCCTCTGTCCAGCCCTGTGAGGCCGGGACCTTGAGTTCCAGGGGACCCGGGCTGTGTCTCACTCACCCTGCACCGAGTGTTTGGCACATGGTGGGCGTTCCCCGAATGTTTGCTAAATTCCAAGCTGAGTGGTTAAGCAGGGATCACGAAGATGCTGACCATCTTTTGCTCTGCACTCCTGGGGCACAGAAGTGCCTGGGACTAAACAGCAAAGCCGCGACACTGGAATCAGGGCCAGGCATGGAAAATCTTAGTACGTGCGCTACGCGCGAGGGAGCGAAGCACAGCCACATGCAGCTTCTTGAAACTGTGTGGGAAGAACCCTGAGACGTTTGGAATGAGCACAGGATCACAAAAAAACAAAGCAGTTTGACAAAGCTCATGATCGTAAGTTAACACCTATCAAAAGCTGTTACTAATCTGTTTCATGTGTTGTCTTTATTTCATTTTATTGAACCTAAAAATAGAATCGTCCACGAATCTAACTACTTTTTCGTGAAGGTTAAAGTTTCTTAACCAAAAATGAGGTTGCTGGTGGGTTTTCGGGAGCCCGGCGTCCATGGCCACGTGAAACAGGTGTGTCCCAAGAGAAGGAAGAGGCGATGGCTCTGTCGCGGCCCCCTGTGCCTGACCTCGGTGAGCACACGCGGTAACTGCACTCCGATACTGATCACAGACCATAAAATCAACCTCCTGACGGGCAGGATTCAGGGCGGTTCAGTGTATTTGGAGTCGTGCAATTGTCAGCGCTATTTAGAATATTTTCATCACCCACCCCGACATCGCCATTCTCATTCCCTCCTCTTCCTCCCCCCTGCTCCCCTGGCAACCACTAATCTATTTTCTCTCTAGGAATTTGCCTGCTCCCAACACGTCACAGACAGAATCACAGAATACGGAATCTTTTGTGACAGGCTTCCTGCGCTTCATCACGTGACGTGAACTCATCCGAGTTGTGGGCTGCGTCACTTCTCCATTCCTCCTTATTCTCCAACGCCCCGGTGTACGTGGACAGCGCGTTCTGTTCACTCACCCACCAGCTGGGCATGGGGGCGGTTCCCACCCCGGGCTAGTGCGGATAATGCCGCTGTGCGCCTCATCGCGCAAGGCTCCTGCGGACGTGCGTTTTCAATCCCTTGGGGTGCACACCTGGGACTCCGACGGCCGGGTCACGTGCTAACTCCACGCTTCCCTTTCAGAGGAACTGCCAAGCTGTTCCCCCGGGGGCCGTGTCCGCGCCCCCCGACGGCAGCGTGGGGGGCTCCACCCTCCCCGGCGCCCGTAGCACCCGACTCGCCTCTGCTCCTACCGCGGCCGCCCCAGGGCGCCGGCGTGGCGTCTCCTTGTGGTTCTCACTTGCTCTGTCCTAGTCACTAATGATGAACACACCTGTCCATGTGTTTACGGGCCATTTGTCTGTATTTCGAGAAATGTCTTTTCAGATCCTTCGCTCATTTTTCATAAGTTTATTGTCTTTCTATTATTGAGTTGTAAAAGTTCTCTACATATTCTGGAATAGAGTTCCCTTATCATATTATTATTTGTAAATATCCCCAGTCTGTGGACTGCGATTTTACTTTCTTGGAGGTGTCCTATGAAGCACAGAAATCTTTATTCCAATTTATCTTTTTTTTTTTCTTTTATCACTTGTGCTTTGGTTTTGTATCCAATAGGACTGTGCCCAACCCGTTTACCAAGATTTACTCCCATACTTTCCTAAGAGCTGTGTAGCTGCAGTTCTTACACTTAGGTCTATAATCTATTTTGGGTTAAGTTTGTCTATAATGTGGAGTCCAGTTCCCAGCACCATTTGTTGAAAAGATAAATTTTCCTCATTACATTATCCTGGTATTCTTGTCAATAAGCAACAGACCACAAAGGTGAGGGCTTATTTCTGGACTTCCAGTTGCATTCCCCTCATCTGTGTGTCTGTCCTTACGCCAGCACCGCCCTGTCTTGACCAGCACGGTTTTGGGGTAGGTTTTAAGTCAGGAAGTGTGAGTCCTCCAACACTGCGCTTTCCCCAGGTTGCCGTAGCCGGGTTCTTGACGCTTCTATGTGAACTTCTGGGCCGGCTCACCGAGGCCTACAAACCCGCTGGCTGCTGACGCTGACCCAGAGGCTGCAGAGGGACTCTCAGCCCCGTGCCTGCAGGACAGGCGTGGCCGGGAGGGCCCGGGGCACGGCGCCCGACTCCTGGTGACCCGGCATGGCTGTGCCATGGACTAAGTGCTGGATGCGAAGGGTGTCCTCAAACCCCACAGATCAACGCGGACAACTGCACATGAGAAAGGGAAAGGACCCAAGACATTTCTAATCTAACCCCTACATTTGTCGAGAAAGAAATTAGTTTGTTCATTTACAAAATGGGAAGAAAAAGACCACACAAGCCCCAAAAGAACACAAGAAAGACAAGAACACTGGGTACGTCAGCCCGTCCCTGCAGAAGCAATGATTACCTTGTCTGGAGAATATCTCCAGTCTTAGAGATAAGAGGAAATGTGGTATTATCTTAAGATACAATTTTTTTTTTTTTTTCTGGAGTAAGATGCAATTCCCCTCAGTCCTACAGGATCTTTAGATGAGTTTGTACAGTCAGCCAATCCCTGGAGTTTAACACCAGCCAAGTTGCCAGCTTCCCAGCCTGGAAGCTTTCTGACCTGAAAACCATTTGTCTTTCATGATCTTTCACTATTCATTGCCTCTATTTCCACAGAAACTCTAGAATTAACAACCAAAAACTCTGATATGGCCCTGTCTGATGTGGCCCACTGCACTGAGCGTCTGCTTGCAAAACAAGAGGTCCCTGGTTCGAGTCCCAGTCAGGGCACATGCCTGGGTTGCGGGCCAGGGCCCCAGTAGGGGGCGCATGAGAGTCAACCACATATTGCTGTTTCTCTCCCTCCCTCCCTCCCCCCTCTCTAAAAATAAACAAATCTTAAAAAGAAACCCAACCCATGAACATGGAAGCCATGTAAAGTAACAGAGACGGCAACATAAAACTCCGAGGAATGGGAGCCCTGAGGACTTTTCAGACACATCCCTGAGGATGTGACCCCGTGTGGCCCCCGGCTCAGCTCACATCAGCTCCTCAGAGTCCTTCCCTGACCTCGGCCTCCCTCCCCCCGTACCCAGCTGCAGCCCGAACTACCACAGCCCTCGTTTCCTTTCCTTTCCTTTCCCGACGTCTAAAATTGCCTCATTAGTGGCTATGCTTTCCTTTTCTAGCCTCCCCAGAATGTCCGCTCCATGAGGGCAACGGCTTGGACGGTCCTGTTCATCATCAGCAAGACTTGCAACGGGGCCGGCACAGGCAGCGGCTCGGTCAGTACCTAAGCAGGGGAGGAAGAGGGGAACAACTTTCCCCAGTCTGACGGGTCTAACGCTAACGGTTGTCTACTGCACCCCAGGCTACTTTGGCGACAACACGTCGATGTGCCACTGGGGGCCACGGTGGCATTTTAACCGGTGGTGTAGTGACGGGCTCTTCGGTCCCTGCAGCGGGAGCTCACTCCCCACTCCTCCTGATGGGGTGGCCCCACCAGGCTGACTGTCCCCTTGCCACCTGCAGGGCCAGTGGGCTTTGCACCCAGGGGTGGGGAGGGGGGTAGGCAGGTCTCAGGCCAGAGCCTGGCGGTCACCGACGCACGCAAGCCACGCACAGCAGGGCAGGGTCCTACCTGACTAAGGGGGACACGGAGAGACAACAGGAAGAACAGGCGAGGACTCAGGCCCAGCGCCCCCAGTCCTGTCAGCGACCCTTACAACTGGCTCAGGAAGGGCCCCGGGTTAGTGGAACAAACGCTCCTCTCTCCACCCGCGGGGAAACCGCGCGGGACCAGGTGAGACGGGTCGTGGGGCCCGTGCCCGGGGGGGGGACCGCGAGGCCGGGGCGAGCCCGCAGCTCCGCACGTCTCCCACGCTCCGGGCGGCGCCCACCTGGGCCACAGGCCTCTCCGGGCTGGGCAGGGCTCCACGGCTGCGCTGTGGCTGTGTGGCTGAGATGTGGCCGGCGTGACGGAGGGACTCAAGAGCCACCTGTGGCCACTGCACCGGGCCGTGCGAACAGCGGTTTCCACCATCGCAGACCCTTCCCCTGGGCAGCGCTCCGCACAGCGGCGGGAGGTCGCGCTTGCCACAGCCCCAGGCCTCTTGTCCCCGGAATGGCTCAGTCCGAAAGGGAAGCCCTTCCGCTGCAACAGCCCTTATTTGCCTCTGCACCCCGACCTGACCACCCCCAGGGGAGAGGCGTGCAGGCGATTCGGACGCCGGCAGCCCCGCGTCCGGTGGGGGTGGAGGCTGCCCGCAGGCAGGTCTGTTGGCACACGGGGCAGGGCAACTTTACGTTCTAAAATTTCCGAGAAAGTAAGACTCACCTACGTTCTACCATAAGAGGAAAAAAGAAGGCAATTCTAAGCCGAAGGTGCCCCCCGGTGCCACCTGCGGCGCAGGCCCCTCCCTGCCCTGTCTGTCTGTACTCACGCTGAACACCCGCACATCGGCTCTGCGGCGGACTTCCTCTACCAGGGCCAGCGGCTTTCCCTTAGGGACCGGGATCGTGCCGAGGACCACGGTCCCGGGGGCGGCCAGCGTCTGACGAACCGCCTGGATGAAGGGCTGACTGAAGAGCTCCATCTTCCCGATCTCATCGATGACACACACTCTCCACCCCGGGCCGCTGCTGGAACCTGCCTGAGGGTGACAAGACAGAGGCTGGGGCACCAAAGGCCCAGGAAGCAGGGGTCCCACTCCCAGTCAGCTACGAACCAGCAGGCTCACGCTGGAGAGGCCCCTGCGCTCGGGAGGGCGGACCCCCTCACAGCCCACACGGGCCTCACTGGCAAACCCATCTCCCGGGGGACTGGCCCACCCGACGCTCAGCTCCCTGGGCCTCCGCTTCTCCTGGCAGCTCTGCCCCTTCCGAGCCGCTCCCAGTGCCTCGCGCTTGTCAGCACCGAGACGAGGCTGCCTGCCCTTCCCCGCACCGCCTCTTTTTTGATTCGGAGCCAAACAAGAGCGCCTGTCTGCCAGGTGGAGTTATGTGCTGCAGGCAAATGCCTGCTTCATACTCTGCAATAGGAGGGCCTGGGGAAAGAAGAAAAACTAAAAGAAAAGGTGACTTGGTTAGAATTAAAAAGTGAGCCAGGTCACACCCTTTAAATCGCAGATTCCCGTTCTAATAACGTTAGACCTTCACGCCCAGCACCTCCTGGGCCCCCCAGGAACGGGCGCAGCGCCGGGAGCCCCAGTGGCGGCCAGCTCCTGGGGCTCCAACCCCGTGCAGCTGTGTGGCCCCACACCCCCCAACGCAGGACCAGGGCTGGTCGGTGTGACCAGGCGGATACGGCGGAAGGGATGGCGCGTCACTTCTGAGACTAGGTGGCAGGGCCCCCCGTTCCGGTCTTGTCTCAATCTCTCCTCCGCCCCATGTTTCTCCTTCTCCCCGACTCCGACTCACCCCCCTACCCCTCGGCCCCCCCCTTAATCTGGGGAAGACAGCGGCCACGCTATAAAGACATGCGGGCAGTGACGGCAAGGTCCGTGCGGAAAGGGACTGAGACCTCCCAGCAGCCACGGCAGTGAGCCTGGGAGCAGGTCCCTCCGGTCAGCCTCAGATGCCTGCAGCCCCCGCCGACAGCGTGCCGGCACCCGCGTGGCCACCCCGGGCCTGACGCCCCCAGCTCGGCCATCCTGGCTCCTGACCCAGGGACAGGCTGGGAGGTAATCAATCTTTGTTGTTTTAAAAATGTAAATTTGGGGCTAACTTGTTACACAGCAACATATGGTGACATACACATCCTCCCCAGAAAGCCTTCCCGGAGGAAGCTGAGAGCCTCTGAATGGTTCTCCCACAGCGGGGAGGAGGCAGAGCACACAGTAACGCTTCAGTGTACGCAGCGTGACATTGTATAATCTCCAGATAAATCATCGCTCCGAGAACTACGTGGAAAGGCGATTCACAGAGCACTTTCTCCGGCTGCCGCCGCACCTGCCACACCCCGCGGGCAAGGCCACCAGCACACCTGCCGCACAAAGTGCGGGCAGACGCGCGTCTCAGACGTCCATCCAGCCACGAAGAAACCACCTTGCTCTCCCACGAGAAGCGATAGCACTTAGTTTCCAGGGGTCTACAGGGGCACAGCCACACAAACTCTCTAACTTTTTTGGCAGTAATCATGCTACTTTCAATACTCAAAAAGAACCGCATGTTTGGGGGTGTCAGAACAATCACCGTCACCAGCGTCCCTCTGTCACGCAGGGAACGGCCCACGGCCGCAGCTGTGACCGGCGGGGGTTGGGGGTGGGGGGCCAGCCCCTGCCACAGCCCCGCTCCGTACGCTCTGCAGAGCGCACAGCACCAGGCCGCCCCGACGGGGCGACGCCCGCCCCTTCTCCTCAGCGGATCCTGTTTACAATAGCTAATTTTCCTCCTCTTGCTTAGTAAAAATTTTGGTCCGTGTTGAAACTTTTGATAAAGGTTTGGAATCTTTGATGTCGGACGCCCTCTTATTAGAAACTGCCTGGAGAGAGGTGACTGTTTTTGCTGCCGTAAGACAGTGCTGATTTTTTTTCCTAACTGATGAGCTACCTGGATACAAATACAGGAGCACAGCTCAGACTAAGAAAAAAAATCTACCATTATGGCTTTTTGAGTTCAGCTTTTGAATATGCAGTGATTTTCCCTTTGTTAATTAGCGCTCACCTTGTTACAGAAAGTATTTCAAAAGGCAGTAGTTAAATTTGATTTCCTGTTGAAGCCTCAAAAGAAAGTTATTTTTATCTTAGAATAAACTAATGGAGTTTTTAAAAATTAAAATTAACTAGGAGAAATTTTGATGCGGAGGATATGTACGATCTTAAAGTATCTCCACACTCACTGCTTATGAGCTTCAAAGGAAAAAAACAGTAAATATGCAGCGCAGAGAGGGGGCGATTCCTTTATCTGGTACTCAAAACTGTATCAACAAACATCACGTGCTTCTTGATGAGAGGCCCGAGAAAGATGCACCACTGTGTACACCGTAAATCTAAGCATAAGAAATATCAGAAACCCCCCCAAAGAGGAATGTCCTACTAATAGAGGGGTGTATGCCTCAAAAATGTCAATGTTGCAAAAGAATGGCTAGAAATGTTCCAGATGAAAGGACCTAAGGAAATATGACAACTAAATGTAACAGCTGACCCCAGAGAGGAGGAAAGAAATGTTACAGTGAACACTGTTAAACCAACTGAGAAAACTGGCAAAGGGAGATTATTAGATCAAGGTATTTTTTCAGTGTAGCACTTACTGAGATTTATGACTATTATCAATTATATAAAAGCATATCCTTAGTCTTAGGAAAAATACACTGAAGCTTTTTTTAGGAGGTAAGTACGCTGGTGACTGCTACATACTCTCAAATGGTCCCCCTGCCAATTTATATATTTACACGCGCGCACACACACACACCCCCCACCCAGAGTGAGCAAACAACAGGGCAAAGGTCAAAACCAGGTGGCTCTGGATAGCAAGTATACGCGTGATCTTACACTGTCCTTATTCTAGAGCAAAGTTAAATCCAAATTTAGTGTTTAAAAAATTTGAATCAATACAAAAAAACCACACACGCACTCTCGCAGTATCAGTCAAGAGAAGTAATGTGTCAACGTGAACGTCCTCCGAAGGCACGCGGGGCTTCAGACTGATGGGCAGGGCAGGCGGGAAGGGAGGCGCACCGGTCAGACCCACGCCCCGCCCTGCGTGCTGCGAGTGGGCTGCAGAAAGCACTGCAGGAAGGCTCCGAAACCCACGGCGGAAGCCAGCCCAGCGGCCGGCCCCCCGAGCCCCAGCGAGGCCGCGGCGGGGCCCCTGAACCCCCACCTGCCCCTGGGGTCGGGTTACCAGGGGGCAGTGGGCTGCAGAGCCAACCCCGGACTCTCCGTTCACCCCCTAGTTTCATTCACAGCACGGATGTTTCTCCGGACAACTTTCAAGTTAACTGTTTGGCGTTTGAACATCCCTGGCTGACCCTGATGCGCACGTGGGATCGTGAAGCCCAGGACGGGGAAGAGGGAGGAGCAGGGCCACGAAGAGCTCTTGTCAGCCTTTGAGGGATGCGTCCCGACTAGACCTGGACTTTCCGACATCCTCTCTAAAGCCCCGCAGCCGGAAAGGCTAAGTGGCACATCCAAGTCAGGGGTTAAAAAAAACAGCCTTTCCCTAGACAGGAGTTCTCTCACCTGAAAAGGAAGTTCAAAGATGTGAAATAGAGCTTTATTTAAGAATCAAAAGCAGATCCTTCTCTCAAAATCAAAATATATACGAAAAGCCTTATTTTGATCAAAACAGGGAAACAGAAGTTCAAACCATGTTGATTTTCACTGGGTGTTCTGTTCTAGGTTACTACTATTCCTTCCATGGATGTTTATTGAAAATGACACCGTTGAACCTAAAAAATAGGGCCTCGATAGATGTCCTTTGCTCTTTAAAATATCATAATCCACTGTTATCCTTTCGTGTGAGTAGGAGACACACTGGGAACCAAGAATGTTAAGCCCCGCAGCGCGTCCAATTCTGACACAGCGCCGTGCGGCCGCCCGAAAGGCCAGCGTGGAAAGGCCGGCGCCGTCCCATGGCCTCGGTCATCGGGAAACTGGGAAAGAGCCCTGGTTACAGCGGAAAACGGAAGAGACCTATGGAAAACCTCACCAAAAGGGTTTAAAGAAATAAAGAGAGATACTACGTTCTTGGCTCTGGAGGATGAAGGTTGCCTATAAAGTTAAAAATACTCTTTACCTCTGGACAACTATAATTTTGTGTAGTCCCACTCTCTCCATCTGAGAATTTTATGATGGGTAATAAAGTCTTGACTCTACTTTCTGCCGGCTCTACCTTGCGGGCCGCGAGTCCCTCCCTGGGCAGGCGGATTCCCACTCTATCCCTCAGCCTCCTCCCCTGTGACACACGAACAAAGTGGCAGCGTTACTCTGAGCACTGAATGAGTTAGGGCCGGGCACACAATTTGCGCTCACCAACTATTCACCATCACCACCATCACCTCCACCACCTCCACCACCATCACCTCCACCACCATCACCTCCACCTCCACCACCTCCACCATCACCTCCACCACCGTCACCTCCACCTCCACCACCGTCACCGCCACTACAATTTGGAGAAATGAACAAACAAGAAAGAATAAGGCAAGTTTTTGAAGAACAATGTAACTAATTACAGAGGTAATTAAAATAGTATGGTATCGATGCAAGAATCAAACAGACCAACGAAAGAGCGTAGATAAACCTAAAACTTTATACACAGACACACATTTTTAATGTAATTAATGAAGCGTAATAAACTGAGAAATGGATTATTTATAATGGTTTTGGTAAACCGGCTAAGTGTTTGGAAGAAAATCAATTGAGAGTGTGATTGTACATTACAGTCAAAATAAACCAGATGGATTAAAAACATAGATGTTAAAAAAAAACAAGTACATATACAGAAGAAGAAACACATTTTACAGTGACTTGGAATATGGACAGATTTTCTCAATGTTGAAAATAAATCACCAATGTGACAACTGAGAAAAATACCATCAATCAATATAAAAAGATTATTCACCTTATAAAAGATCTCTTTTAAGCCAAAGGAAAAAGGAATGAGAAAAGGAATCAACAATTCAGATTTTTAAAAAATACCCAATGAAAAACATTTAACCTCATTCCTATAGCACAGCAAACCAGAGCAAGGAGGTACGTTTTAGTATCAGAGATCAGCACAAAGCTCAGTGTGGGCCAAGTGCAGCCGGACAGACGCTTGCGCACGTGGGCAGCACGCCGGGTGCCCAAGGACAAAGCGATCGCGGGGACACCCCCGCAGCACGCAGCCAAACCCTGACCATTCACACGCCTCCTCCACCTCCAGAGACACAATCACAGCTGGAGAAAGACGGATGCACGCGGCGCTTGTGGCAAGGCTGCCTGCAACGGCGACGAGTAATCTAACCGTCCGACACTGAGGAAATGACAGACAAATCAGTGATGGAAATCCACACCCTGAAATCATATGCAACCGTTCAAGTACCACAGTTGCAAAGATTATCATGTTGTAAGACCATTCCCATATCACCCAAACATGTTATGGGAAAAAACCCAAGCCTCTAGAACTATATACAGCCTTTCCCCAATTTTGGATGGCTGAAAAATAAAGTAGGTATAGGAAAAGGACAGAAACAATTATGCTAACAGTGGTTAAACTCAGTTATTCCTATTGTTTTTCATTTTTTTTAAACGAATTTCCTACCTGGAGTATGTAGAACTTAAATATTCAAGAAAACAATAAATGTTCCCAATAAGATGCTACGTGTGAGTTAAAAACAAAACCACCAAAAAAAAAAAAAAAACACCCATCAACCCTACAAAGGACTTTCTAAAAACCTCACTACTGCATCCAGAACGTTTCCAGTCTAACTTGATTTCTCCTTATTCCCCACGTGTGCCCACAAAGGTCACGAGACCCCGTCCTGACTGAGGGGAGAAGGCACCAGCACCACCGCACCCCCCGCCACACACGACCTGTCCCAGCTGCTTCCAGCGCCCACCCCTGGCTTCCCCCCCATTCCTCCCTCCCAGCACACAGGAGGCACGTCCGCGGGCCTCCAGCCCTGTATTCTCTTACGTTCACATAGGAGACACTTAACAGACATCTGTTGTTAGGTTTTAGGTTTTCCTACATCCTGGGCACTACAAGCTAGCACACCATCCATCTGGGGCAGGGCGTTCGCCTGCCTGAACGTGCTTTCTAAAGCTTTCAGTTCACCTCTGTTGGTCATTCCAACTGCCGAAAATAGAATTTGTCTCCTCCAATTCCCCTATTTTTGTTGCCTGGTTACTTTAACTTCTCTCTCTCTTTTTTAGTATAAAGACAAAACACTCATTCTTCATCCCAATACAATACATGCGAGGGGACAAGGCCCTCCACCCCAGAAAATGAATCCATGACTAGAACTGGTAAGAAACCGCAGCCTGGGAACTTTCCCTACCTAGAATATGCACGTGTGGGTTTGGTCATTAAAGTACAAATAAATGGAGAAGTCTGACTTTATTTTTTAATTAAAAAAGATTCAATTCTTATTCCTGCAGCACGCGGTTTCGTGTAGAATCTTACAGGCAACCAGCACGTGTGCACAACACACTCCCAGGATTCAGGCTGCTCTGAGCAAGTAAAAATCAATTCTCTGTATTGATCCCGTGCCAAAGCCAGCGTCCTCAGCTGGAATTTCATTTGCAGCTTTTCACTTGCCTTTTGAACATTTAAGCAGAGAGGTATGTATCTCACGGGAAGAGAACTGGAGAGGAAAATACCACGTCCTCTGATGCTGCCGTGCAACGCGACGTCTACAGCCGTGCCCAGAGCAGGAGACAAGGCGGGGGCGGTGGGAGGGCCAGCAAGAGGGAGCCAGCCCCTCCCCCCACGGAGCGCTCAGCACGGCCGGCCCGCTGGGTGAGACACTGTCCGCGGCCTTGGGGAGCTACTAAAGCCCTTCGCTGCACATTTTAGCTGAGCCCTGGATGTCAAAAAAGAGCAGCGAGGCAACAAGCTGAGGGGTACGCCACCCAAAGAAAATGGCACGTGCCAAGGGCCAAGGGCTGGCGCGCCCCGGCGGGTGTGGGCACGCGCCGGAGCTAGTGCGGCTGGACGGCGGTGACGGCACGTCAGCGGTCACCAGGGCTAGACAGCGCAGGGCCTTCTGGGCCAGAAGGAGGGGCCTGGGCTTTACTCTTGTGGCAGAAACTTCTGGAAGGTTTAAAATAGCCTCTTGAGACAGGTCTGCACCATTCAATTTTCACAAAAGGAAACCGAAGTCATTAAGTCAGTAATAGAGTGAATGAAACCCATGCCCCCCGGTACGGTCCTCAGGGCCCTGCATCACGCAGCCTCCCCCTCCCCCTCCTCCTCCTCCCCCTCCTCCGCCTCCTGCTCCTGCCCCAGGGCTCTGGGGCCTCAGCCAGGCAGGTTCTTCTCCCCAGGCCCCTCCCTCCAGCACACGCCCACTGTACAGGCCGCCCCTCAGAGCTCCTAACGGCCATGGCGTTTGGGAAGACGACAACGTTATAAAATTAGATTATGGTGACGTGGCACAGTCTTGTGAATATACCGGAAAAAGCCAAATGCTACATTTTAAATGGGAGAATTGTATGGTATGTGAATTATATCTCAATACCTGTCTTCAAAACAAACAACAAGTAACAGAGCAATATAATGTGTTAGGTGTTTACCATTATATTCATATAATGACGCTTTTCCTTCCTAAATGTTTATTTCTCATGCTGGGAAAACTGGGTGGATACATAGTCTATGGGAAGAGAGAGGGAAGACTTCCGCTTGGGGACGGGCAGAGCTGGGCACCCGAGCCCTCCCACCGTAAAATCTTTGTGTGTGCTGAATTTATGCGACCAGGACTTGACCTGCAGTTCAGAGTGACAGCTAATTACGTCGCAGGGTCAATTGCTTGAAAACTTTTAAACTATAAAGTGCAAAACTGGCCTCTCCTTCAGAGCAAAGGCCGCTCCGTGTCCCAGGGCCCACAGGCCCCACAGGCCCCACAAGGCACGGCCAACAGATGGGCCCAGAGCAAAACCACTCACGTTCCTCAGGACCGGAAGCGCCAGCTGCTCAAAGGCCGGCAGATCCACCACGTACTGCCCGACTCGGCACTCCCGTCTCCCAGGCACGGGTTCCGCCCTGAAAAGACAGAGTTCGCGTTGAAAGGCCCCCGCCCAGGTTCCTGGTTGTCGGCTACTCCACTGACCCCCCGGCCTCCGCACAGGCTAAACCATCCCTCAAAACCACCTACACAAAAGAGGCAGAGCTGACCTGAGTCCACGGTCTCCCTGAGGGCCGGGCTAGCACTAAGCGTGCCCACCACTGGCGACAGGCCACCCTGGCGGGGTCCCCGCGAAGCTCCAGGGAGCTGCTGTGCCAGCTGGGACTCAAAGCAGCACAGGAAACGGGGCTTCCAGGTCAATGGGACGGGCTCTAAGTGTGGGATGGGCTCTAAGTGAAATACGGTACTTGCATACTTTGCCTTTCATGGGATGATTTCCACCTGTTTCTTTCTCTAAGGAATCCAAAGGCCTAAGATTCTCCAAGACAGAAGTGAGCGTGGGGCTCGACCCCATGCCCAGGGAGGAAAGAACACCATAGAAATGAAATCTCAGTACCCAACTCTAGACAAAGGTCCCCGCAGGCCGGATAGCGTGACCACGTCGAATCCTATTCTTCTCCCTCCCTGCCTGACTTCTTCTGTGTAAAATCCATCGACAGGCACGCCAGAGGACTTTAATACCTCGCTGGCTTTCTGGATCAAAGTTGTTTTTCCGATTCCTAAAAAGAAAAACAAAACACCATTAGGAAGCACCGCTTGCTGGAGCGCGCCCAGCACTCGCCGACTGAGAGCAACCACAGTGGGGAGGAAACTGGGCTGAGAGTGGATTTTATGAATATTAACTTCACTTTGATTGCCCCAGGTTAAAATGTTTTAATTTCAAGTAGACTATGCATAATAAAATGTTTATTTTTAAATTCTGAAACATTATCAATTTTGTCACATACACAATCCCAGAACCCACTGAGTGGCTTCCTGATGAGTACCGAGTGCAATCTGCATCCTGAGAGACAAACTGCACCTTCTCCTGGGCGCGCTCCCCTCCGTGGGCGGCCACGCCCCTCCCCCGAGCAAGTGAAACTGGCCATGCTCCGGTCACAGGCTGGGCGCTTGAGGATTTCCACCTTCAGGGCACGCCGCGCCCACCTTTGAGAGTGGCAAGTTCCCTTCACGCTCCGTGGGCTCACACTGCTATGGCTCCTGATCACACGTCCCTTAAATGCCACGGACACCACTACACATAGCAGTCTTGAAACTTTTTCACACGAGCTGCCCCATCAGGTTGGCGACCCCCTCGCTCTGCCTCCAGTGGCCCTAAGCGCTCCTTTGGCTGACCCAACCCCTCCCCAAATTATAACCTACACAGCTCCTGCCGCACCCCTCCCACCTCTGACCGCCCCCCCCCCTTTCCTCCCAGCCTGGTCTGTGGACGACTCTGAAGAACTCATGTGTCTACAGGCACAAACAGGTGCTACCTGACAGAATAACAGGAACAGGCGCTACCTAATACAACACTACCCGCTGACGTCACGGAGCCAGGCACCGTTCTAGCACGTTTCGGGGCATTTTCTCAGTTAAATCTTCACAACCACCCTCTCAGGCAGCTTCGGTTCTTGCCCCTATTTTACAGATAAAGAAACTGAGGCAATGAGAGGCAAGGTAACTTATCCAAGGTTATGCGACCAGTCAGGACCATGCATTTTAACGGGGGCCTTTGTCTGTAACCATGACTTTGTTTACGTGAGCCTTGTCCCCATGGAAACTGAAGTCAGTGGCATCATGATCACCCAAAAGTGGAAACACAGGGAAACGGCCAGCAAGTCTGCAACAGAGCTGTGTTGAGATACCACAGGGTTGAAAATCTTATTATTTCATGGCTGGTCATCAGGGTTCCTTAAGGGCCCTCTTACGCTTCCTTGAAACAAAACATAATCCGTTACTCTTCTTCAATGTATCTCTCCTAACTGCTGCTTTAGCAAAGTCGGTGAAGAATCTGTCTAATGCAGGCAAGTGGTGCTGCTGGATGGCTACACTGGCACCTTCCTGAAAGGTCATTTCAACACGCCCACCACAGCGCAAGCAGCTCTATGGTTCGGAACTCTCCTCAGTAAAGGATCTGATAACAGGCACAAAGACATTTGTTAGTGTGGAAAACAGGCCACCATATATGGAAATAATGTATGGACAATGACCGGGTTAAGAAACAGCAGACACACCATGTAGTACTCCAATTTTTTTTTTTTTAATTCTATGTGTTGGAATTCCATATGCGGTCACAGTCTTCTTTAGAAATTTCTTGAATTTTTGTTGTCTTAAAAAGAGTGGATATTATTACTCTTAATGTAAAAACACACACACACAAAGGTATTTACATTTTGAAAAAGAGAAAATGGAGCAGCTCTGGTCAAACAGACACACTGCGCATCCTGTATGTTACATAGAACATAGCAAAACAAGAGGTTCGAGTCCTGTTTCCTCTTCAGGTCTAAAAGTTATCTTTCGGTTAACTTTTCATCTCCATTAATTAAGCTGCTAGCCCAGCGCTGCCGACACCGGCTAAGCAGCAAGCTGCACTGAAGACCCAGGACAACAGCCCGTACCACGCAGACAGAACAGGTCAGAAAGCTCCAGCATCGTTTGGGTTCTGGTTCTCCCATAAAGCCCACCCTGAGATAAAGATTCAAGTGCAGGTGGTTTAACTTGGGAAGTGTCCCCAAGACACGCGAGTAGGGAGGTCACTGCATTAGCAAGCAAGTTACCATTGTGGGCAGCTGGAGCCTAATCCTACTGGGGACTCCGAGGGGACAGTTTCAGACACGTGGCTCAGTTATCCTGTCTGAGCAGTGAGGAAGGAGGGAGCTTTACTTCCATCTGTCATGGATCTGCTGCTGCTCCTGGGGGACAGGACATCCCTCGCCCGTCAGACCTGCCCACGTGCAGGCAGAGTGGGCTCCTGCCACCAGAGAAAGCCCTCCAAAGTGGGTCACAGGCGGGACAGCTGAAGCTGGGAAAAATCCCAAGTGCCAGAGTGCCCTCCTTGAGCAGAGAGATGACCTGCTGGTCTGAACACGTAAAGATTTGGCCAGGGCTCAAGGTCTGGGAATGAGTTGGTGACAAAAAGGTACTAAATGAATGAAAAAACAGGCATGAACTCCAAAGGGAAAAAAAGTTGTGCATAAAAGGAAAAGAAATTATAGATTACAACATGGTGCTTGGGTGATTAGCTCTTACATAGTCATAGTACTGCAAACACTCGCTACTGAGCTAATCACAGTACAGTATATATGCAGCAGGAAGACGGAGAGACAGAGAGTGGGTTTGAGGACAGGCCTCAGAGAGCTACACTGTAGAATTATTTGAGTATTTCAACTATGTGTACATGAAACTTCTATAGATAAGGAAACGGAAAGAAGAACCAGTCCCAGCCTGGCCAGTCTCCTTCCCCACTGATCTCCAGGACGCAAGCAGGTGCAATCACAGGGAACAGGTCATTGTTAGGAAGCACAGAGGGGTCCTGGGGCCAGCTGGCGTAAAATCTACATTCCAGATCTCAGATAAAGGGCTGACCAATCAACTTCCAAAAGACAATCCTTTGCAGTATTAGCTGTTAGAAAGTTCTCCAACTACCCTCCCTCCTCACTGCTTGGTAAAAGTGAAATTCCAAAGTCTGCAACGTTAAGTGTAGTCTTTGCTACTTAAGGGTAAGCATAATCATTAAAAATGAGGTGACAGAGAATTCTAGGGTTCCAATCTTTGATAGGTGAACTCACAGCTAACTTGAACATTATATCCGCCTTGCAAAAGGGCTGAAGAATCATTTTCTCGACCCTAAGCCCATCTTTCTCCCTTACGCTGCAGTCCACCACCTTCCTGCCTCTTCTTTTGGTCATGCCTGCTACACGTGTAGCACCTTGTTTTAAAAGCCATGTCTTCTTCTAGTCTCTCCTTCGACCTCACACTGTCCCATTCACAGGTGAGAACGCCACAGCCCACAGAAGTGAGGGATCTGCCCAAAGACAGCCACGGGCACAGGGTCTGAGAGCAGACCCTTAGGTACCAAGGCTTCTCAGCTCGCGGCCTCATCCATGGGGGAATTCAGGAGTCGGGGAACTCAGAGACGGGGAATACAAGTTCCAGCTCTGGTTTCACCACCCCTCCACCGACCCCCGCCTCCTTCAATTACGAAAGTGGGTCACACGGGCAGCAGCGTGACTCTCAGCCGAAATCGGGCCCCTTCCCACCAATCCCTGCGGTGACAAGTATCCTGAGCATGGTCCCTGCGCAGCACCACGGCAAGGGCAGGGTCGTTGTTACTGTGGCCGCCGGTGCCAGCTACTACTTTAATAAAGCCCACGTCCCCGCATCACCTTTACTCTTCTCACCACGGTGGGCTTCATCTCTAATCCTCTCTACCGTACTCTATCGGAAAAGAATATGCAGGTTTCAGAGTACCAAGCCTGTCACATCACAGCACTTCTGTGACCAGCAGCCAGAGCCCGCGAGCCGGCTGCCCCAACTGTGCGCGCCCCCAAGCCCACCCTTTGGCCTCCGCGAGGTGGGGACTCGGCGGGGTTACCTGGAGGCCCCGTCAGAAACACGTGGCGGGCCATACTGTGGGGCGGAGACGGGATCACGACCCCGGGTACGGGTCTGGGACGCAATCCCGGGTAGGGGTCTCTGCCTAAGTTCCGCCCACCGCGTGTTGCAGGCCCCACCTCCTCCGGCCGGAAGCACCGCCCCCAAACCGCGCCTGCGACTCAGCGCTCTGGAGCGGGCTGCGCATGCGCTCTCAGCCCTGGCCGCGGTCTGCGCTTGCGCCCTCAGTCTTCGGGCTCAGTCCGCGCGGGCAGTGTTTGAGAGTGTGGTGGTGCCCGTGCTCTGCGCGTCCTTGAGCCGCGTTCTCGATGCTGGGCGCCTGTGGCGTGTTTGCAAGGATTGGAGCCTGAGGAGTTCAGTTATTAAACCAGTGGCGTTCCGTGTGCGTGCTGCGGCCTGGGCTGTGCCCTGGGATCGGACCTACGAGCTGAAATCCCCCAGGCTACGGGGGACCGCGCTTCTGAAGGTGTGATTTCCCCAGCGCTGTCAGCCACAGCCGCGGAGTAGAATGACCTGGTTGAATCTGCTTGAGGCCTGGGCTCCACCTGCACGGATGCAGAGTAATTGCTCTGGATTTCCTGTCGTTTAAAACTCCCTGGCTAATGGGAGGAGGTTGAGGGCACTGAGTGGAAAAGGAGAAGGGATTAAGAAGTATAAATTGTCAGTTACAAAATAGTTATGGGATACAAAGTATAGCTTAGGGAGTATAGTCAGTAATAATTGTGATGCTATGGTGCCCCATGCGTACTAGACTTCCTGGGGGATCACTTTGAAGGTATAGTAATGTCTAACCATTAGTCTGTACACCTGAAACGAATACAATGTTGAATGTCAACTGTAATTGAGAAATAAAAACATTAAAAAACCCCCCAAAAACCTCTGGCAATTTCTGAAGTCCACAGGGGTAAAGAATGCTCATTAGGCAGACTTGCCCTCCTCAGCTCTGGATGTGAAAACCAGTTTCCCCTTCTTATTTGCATACCCGAAGCGTAGGCCAACGCAATGCCCAGCTGGAGGGTCTCCCTGTCCAAAGAATTAAGTGGCTTCGACCTCACTTAGCTACTTGACATGTTTATGCCAGCGAAATGAAGTGGCCATGGCCTTGGGCCAGATTTACCTGTAAACTCTTTCAGTCCAACATGTGTAGAGTTTGACTTGTGATCAATCATTCTCCATCCTGGCTGAGAAAGCAATTTCAGTGAGAGCTCAACTTAATTGCTTTGTGCCCACATGGGACCTGCAGGACTCCCGTTAGCCTGCCGTGTACACCAGTCGGATGGCCTCTGTCCCTTGCTACATAAAAAGGAGTTATCGAAAAAAAAAATTTAGACTCCTACGGTGTAGCTATCACCATCAGTTGTGCAACATTTATAATCCATCACTGCTAATGTAGGGCCTTCCAACTACGTTTATCTTTCACGTCCACTCAGTCAAGAATAGCCAGCCCAATGTAGCTAAGTAAACCCACAGGAGTAGTGCCCAAAAGAAAGGAACATGTACACGGTCATATGTGTGCTCCTTTTTTTTTTTAAATAAAAAATATTTTAAAATGCTAATTATATAACATTTTTCATCACTGAAAAGCAGTTTCTATTTGCAAGGGTCACCAGAAGTTGGACCAGTTTCTTTTGATCCTATACCTGGAATTCTGGGAGGTACTAGCAGGCATTGGTGCAGGCAGCCCAAGGAGCACAGAGATTCCAGGTGCAGAGAGCTGATGTCTCAAGAGAACAAAAAGAAAATTCTTCCATAGTTGGATGTTCTTCTTCCCGTTAAACATTATTTCTTTGGGCCATGATTATATGGGTGTCTTCACTTTGTGATAATTCGTTGATTTGAGCCTTTTGATTTGTAGTTTCCTCCATGGGTTTCACATTAATAACAAAGGTGAAATACCTTATATTAGAGAGTAACAACAAAAGAGAGGGGGACATAATTAGAAACACATTTTTAAATAAATAGATTATTAAAGTACTGTGCTGAATCTACTCTTTGCTTGCTATCCTACCAAGATAGAATTGTGGAACAGGTGATTCTAATTATTTCCCGGCAGCACCTGGCTATAGGCTCCCTTTGATAGGATCCAGTACCGTTTTTTTTATCAAAGTAGGCTGTAGTACATGTCTCAAATCTCTATAATCCCCCAAGTCCTAAAAACTCAGCGTTTCTTTTGTTTCCATATCTCTGCTTTGCCAGAGATGTCCTAGTTTTAAAACTGTAAGTTCCATGTCTTTGGAAACCTCCGTGTCAAGCAAACTGAGACGGTTGGTCATTTTACAGTTAAAGGACAGAGGAGCCTTTGAAAAGCAAAGCAAAGAGCTTCGTCAGGATTAATGGTATAGATTGAATGTCTGTATGCCCCCAAAGTTCGTATGCTGAAACCTAATGCCCAAGGTGATGGCATTAAGAGGTGATATTTGAGAGTCATCACGTCATGACGTCAGAGCCATAGATGAGATTAGTGCTCCTCGGAGTTGCTGAGCTCCGTTCTCCCAGAGAGGATACAATGAGAAGCCTGCAGGCCAGGAGAGGGCCCCACCCCGATCACAGTGGCACCCTGATCTCATGCTCCCAGCCACCAGAGCTGTGAGAAATAAACTTCTGTTGTTTATAAGCCGCCCAGCCTTGGCATTTTGTTCAAACGGACTAAGACAGTAAACAAGCAGTTTCTTTCTTACAATAGTTCATTATAAGCTGGTTGTTCTGAATATGGGACTTTTTCCTGAAGAAATGATCTTGTCAGCAGTGATTAGCTAGAAAGCCTATGCAACACAGCCTGCACGGAAACCGTTTCTGTCAGTACTCTGGGCTCTGATCACTGCGCAGAAGCAGAGAGGCCTCTGTCCCCTGGCTGCCCACTCCAGCACAGCATGCCTGGGTGCCCACCCCACAAACACGTCACCCCTCCCCGGGTATCCAGTAGCACCTCCCTGGCTTGGACAGAGAACAATGGTTCTGACATGTCGTTGGGAAAAGCACTGAGTGCAAGGAGACAGAACAGAACAAATGTGGCTACTGCGGATGTGAAAATACCAATGTAGGGGAACAAGACACCTGCCCAACCAAAGTCAGAAAAGTATTAGGTGCTGAGAGTGAGACCTGAACCAGGTTTGATGCCTTTGAAACCTGTGCTATGTTCACATTGACTTTAGTGATGGACTTTGTTTATAGTTTTCAGACAAAGAAACCGGTATTGTGTTCATTTAGAGTCCACTTCTTATTGAATTTCTATAACCAGTGGAATTTCTTTTCTAACTACAAGTTTAAATTATTGTACAAATACTAAACTTACAGTAGTAACTGTGTGTGTGTGCACGTGTGTATAGGTTGATGGGTTTGGGTACTATCTGCACATAAACCGTCTCATTTGACCATTCGCGGGCTCGTGTCCTGGGGTAGGGATGGGGGAATGGGGCCTTGCAGGGGCTCTGGCTCAAAGGAGGGGCAGTGGAGAACCGGAAATGGAGCACAGCCTTCTGATGGTCAGTGTCCTCGGCCAGGACTGCAGCCTGGGCCCAGTCCTCGGCTGTGCTGTGCGGTGTGCGCTTTGAACAGTGGCTATTATCAGAGTGAATCACGTAGAGGAGAGTCGCCAAGTCACTGCAAGATTCCACGGAGAACGGTGACCCAGCCAAAGGAGGGCATTCGGCTGGGCCCCTAAGGGACGCCGGGCGGAGACCAGGCAGGCTGTGAGGCCGAACCGAGAAGGGCAGCCTGAGAGGTGCAGGGGAAGGGGGCTTCTCTGGGCTTTACGTCCTTTCCTCAGGACACCGACACGGCGTGGTGTTTGGTTCAGGGTCCTACTCATTTGTTCCCCTTGCATCCCATCAGTAGAGAATCTCTTGTTTGCAAAATAATATGGCACTTGTTCTGGTTTGAATCTAGCTCCATGGGTAAGAACAACAACAACAAAAATAGCTGCATCTAATGAATATTCACTGTCAGACATAAATAGAGGGGGTTACTTAATATCCCCTCCCTCTCTCCTTTCCTCCCATTCTCCTTTCTTCCTTCCCTCTTTCCCTCTCTCCCTCCCTTCCTCCCTTCCTTCTTTTCTGCCTCCCTACCTTCCCTCTTCTGTTTTATTCCGGACACCGTGCACTGCAGTAAACCATAGGGATCGAAGATACACAGGAAATAGCTTCTGTTCTGAGAAGACTAAAAAGCCAAAGAACCACTAGCATGTGGCCTTTTATACCTGAGGTCCAATTTTTTTAAAAAATTCAATACCATGAGCTACAACATTTTTTGAAAAGGAAAACTGCTTGCGTGGAGCCCCAGAGGGAGGAGCTACTTTCCCATCCCTCAGATTGCTCGCCTTATTGCCTACGCACTGCCAGGAGGGAGCGGGCGCTGTGCTTTAGCCACCGACCTTTGCTCGGACGTATTGAACACATGATAATAGCTAACACTCACTGGTGTTTGCTATTGTCAGGCTTTCTTCTCAGAGCATTCTAAATTATATTACAGGCTTTAATTCTCACAGAAACTTTGCTTTCCAAATGCGGAAGCCAAGGTACAGAGAGGCTAAGGGACTGGTTCAAAGCCACCATACACACACACACACACACACGTGTGCATATACATGTATGTGGGCCTGTATGTGTGCATGTACGTGGATGGGTGGGGTTCAAACTCAGGTATTTGGGCACCAGATGCCAATTTCTAACTTTCATCCTGAAAACAGATCGTGGGCAATATCACAAAGCAAGAAGGGTCCCATAAGGACAGTGGACAGGGTCCACTGGCTGCTCTTCCCTTGTCCAGGAAAGTAAGAAATGTGTCAGCTGATGAGGACGCGGAAGGAGCTTCTTCGAGGGGCAGTATGAACACAGGGGTCATGGAGGGACTTGCTCTACCTGGTTCTCACCTCATTCTTCTTCCTGGGTCTCTCCAGAATGACAGCCACTATCACACATGTCCTCGGGGACCGGCTAACTGAGTGGGGCACTGTGTCACCCCGAAGTCACTCTGGTTGCAGGTCCTCGGAGGGACTGCCACTGCGCTCCCACCGAGGTGCGTCAGACACTCTCCTGCCCCTCTCAGCCAGCACCGCCAGGCCCTGAATGGCTCACTTCCAACTTAGGTAGAAGCCTGATGGCATGTATTCAAGGTTCATCGTCTTTCCCTTTG